TTTATATAATTGAATGTGATGTGACGATAATTATGAATTGTGAATAGATAAGAATCTGGGAATATACAGTCATGGCTTATGTCAGTTCCATGAAATTGCCTGGAGAGACTCACAAACAGAAAAATGACAATCCAGATAGTCATTAGACTGGTCAAGATTCAAACTAGCTAACCTCCCTAATACAAATGTGGAGTGCTGCCAGAGGACCAGTCTGCTTGCTGAGATGTAGGATTTTACATAGCTGAAACAATTAAAATAGTGTGGCTACTTCCTGTAACCCGTTATATGTACATAACGTTATTTCTATCTTACTTACCATACTCATGATTTCTCCTTCTTCTTTTTTTCCAGGTTATCTGCAGTCGTGTTTCCTCTCCAGATGAAAGTCTAAGGCAAAAACTGTCAAATTTACTGGATGACATGTTTTATGTTCCTGTACTTAGATCAGAGGATAATTCTGTACAGCCTACTGTTGGTGATCCATTCTCTCCTGCTTGCCCTCTGGTTGGTAATAAATTGTTTTTACACATGTATTCACTATGCAGGGTCCTGTCGAGAAATTTAAATTAGTCAGAGAATTCTCTCATATAAGAGCATGTAGTTGACAAAGTGTTAATTGCAAAGTGAAGCTGAGACAATTCAGGGTGTTCACAGGATGTCTGGAGATTCATTTCTAGCTGGAATGTTGACAGTTATTTCTGTTACCATGTTTAGACCCCACACTGCTTATTTGATGGATGCTAGGGGAGGTTTATGTGTTCTGTCTCATGTATTGTGTGTGTACTTCATATGTAACCAAAACTATCAAATATAACAGTTTGTAAAATCTTTTACTTAACGTGAAATGTTTTGTCACAATTTTTTTTTTCGTCATCATATTGCCTCGCAGCCTAGCACCGAAGAGTACAGATTAAATGTGTTCCTCTCAAAACACCTTGATTAAACCTTTTTTGAATTTTTTTGTCTTGCCATTTTTTTGTAGATGTTCTGTTTTTATGTGCTTAATAGCTGTTTTCCATTATTTAATTGTATCTTGACTTTATTATATTTTGAATGCCTTCTGAATTTATTTCTTGTTATTTTTATTTGTCTTTGTGTTTCAGTTTTCAGTTCTATAGGAAATAATCTAGGGGGTAGGGTGATCACCGTACACCACCCACTGTTATCCCTGTGGTCCATTCTTGGTGAAGGAGACTGGGCTCCATGAGCTGACAGTGCATATATATCTATACTACACCCACCCAATCACACACACACAAATCACCAATCAAATCAACCTGTCAGTCTCTGGTGTTGGAGGCAGCCATGGTCTGTGAAATGCAGAAAATTAACTTTATACAAACATGGCCCATCATCAGAGGAGACATCATTCTATTAATTTACTGTTTGTTCTAAAATGTTTCTAAAATGTTTATTCATCAGGTATTAAAAGCTGATCCACTTAATGGAAGAATGGAAATCC